GACCCATTTGCAAATGCAAAATCAAGAAATTGCCTAACTCCATCTATGTATCCTTTACTTAATCTAGAACAACACATCCAACTCTTACCTATCATCTTTACAGAACTATCCAAATTCACTAAAAAGAAAGACTATTGAAAAGTAAGTCACAATAATTCTATATAACACAAGACAGAAATATATAATAGCACTATAAAAAATAACTATTCATATGGATAAAAGATAATCATTAACTTATTCCATCTTAATAATTTCAAAAACTATCTTGATGTGTTTAAAATACATACCTAGACAACTTGCTGGAAGTAATGTATCGGTGGATGATTTTGTGGACTTGAAGATGAACTAGCCTTGACCTTTTCAAACTCAGTATCAAGCAACTTCTTAAAATCAGTTAACTGTTGTTAAAACATGGAAGCAACATATGACATTAATTCAATAAGTGTTAGTATACAAAATGATATTACTAAACTAAAATATATAAATATGTTGCATAAAAGAAATAAACTCAATGCATAAAAGAAAGAAATGAAGAAAAGACACAAATATTTGAATAGCAGCCCAATGCTATTAAGAGTCTGCACTAATAGATACATTTTATTGAAGGCAAAGAAACTAAAATTTGCTTTAAATTGCTTGAATTGTTTTACTGGAAAATTCAAAGTCAAGTCATTCAATGCATTTTTGTTACTCTAGATTGGTACTTTAGGAAATTATTTTCTCTTTTTGCAAGAGAAGTTGCTCACATCAGGTTCTCAACCTCTATTCACAACTAATGCTTAAATCAATAAATCATACTTAAAGTCCCTAAATATGTCTCATCTAAGGAATCTGATTTCTCCTTTAACCATGAATTACAGGTTCTAAGCTCTAAATACGAAAATAAATTTGTAAAATTGCTTCTATAACATTAAACATGATTTATATGTATTGGAATTACCATACAAGCCAATACATAATTCTTCAGGTATATAAGGTAGCAAAAAATCACCAACTTATGTCACTTTATTCTTAAATAGCGATATATGCTTTAGAATTCTATTTCATTTTCCTCACATTCCAAGTTTTATTTCATTTCTGTTTTCCTTTCTTCTCTCACTTTTACTAGCTACGAAAATTATTATAAAGTTGATAAAATAAATACTAGATCTTATTACAAAAAAATTACAATAATATCTTAATTCTTTTTTACTTATATTTTAATACTTACATCTTCGTCCTGAAGCAGAATTTAAAACAAACAAAAAGTGAAACACATGGAATCTTAATTAATTAACACAGAGTAAATGTAAATTAAGATCACCTCAGAAGATTTTGCACTGGATGTGAACTAAAGGGTATCATTAAGGTGTGAATACCTTTTCTTGACACGTTCCTACAAAATTAACAAATAAATTAAAAGTATAATATTTAAAAAGAAATGAAAGGATAAACTTGAACTACATATATCATGATCAAAATGAAAAGAAAATGAAAGTATAAAGAGAGATAAATTAACAGCACTATTGTTGCCAATACCATTTGAAGCATTAATCTCCAATGCTGTTGAGTTTTAGCAAACTATTTTATCCTTGTTCTGTTACTCATATACTTAGATGTCATAAAGCACTCTAACAAAATTAATGGTTAATATAATAATAAAACTTGTCAATACCACTCTAAAGTTTTCATTATTAAAATACTATGCCAAATAAATATAAATTAAGAAATAGATTAATAGAAGAAAGAAAAAAGAAATGAAGAAAAGACATAGATATTTGAATAGCAACCTAATGCTATTAAGAGCTTGAACCCATAGATACATTCGATTGAAGGCCAAAAAAGTAAAATTTGCTTTGAATTGATTAAAGTTGTTCTATTGGAAATTCAAAATCAAGCCATTCAATGCATTTTTGGTACTCTAGATTGATATAAATTTAATGAACACCATCTTTGCCCTGAAAACTAAATCTAAGAACTTAAAAATTTAACCAGAATTTAAACATTTAGATCATGTAGAGCTATTATCTACAAACTACATAAAATGTCTTTCTACCATAAACTAAGGAGCTTATTTCTCTTCTTGTAGGAGAAGTTGCTCGTATCAGTGCAAGGTATTCTTTATACTTCCAACTTTTAATTTAATAGCTCTTCATTTTATGAAATCATGCTCAACTATAATCTTATTGACATCAAGGCACTAAAGCTTAACTAGATGTTTACAAAGAAAACGGTGCAAGGTTCTCGGCCTCTATTCACAATTGGTGCTTAAATCAATAAATCATGCTCAAAGTCCCTAATTAGTATTACAGCAAACCCTAATCTAAACTTGAACTACATAAATCATGATCAAATTCATTTTAAAAAAAGAGAGAGCAAAGAAAGAGTACCTAAATCAAGGATTACACAAACATGTAACTATGAGTTGAAACACAATAAAAGTTCTATTCAACATATATATTTGGTGAAGAAATAATGAAAAAAATTTACATAAATTTGAAAAAATAATGAAGAAAGTTAACATAAAATTAAAAGACTTGAGAAAATTATTTTAATAACTAACCGAGAATCTTTAGATCCATTCCAGCCAAGAATCTTCTTAGCAAGCAAACGGGAAAATGAACAAATCGTCCATTATCATTAGCTAAATGAAGAATCGAAGAATGTTTAGTGAAATTATCTGATGAGATTCGATTCAGGAAAAAGGAAAAAAAAAAATTTGGTGAAATTCTATGATGAGAAATGGAGAGTGAAACAATCTGAAAAAAATTTGGTGAGAAATGAAGTAAGAGAGAGGAAGAGTTGAACAGTCGGAAGAAAGAATTGTTAAGACTCACAAAAGGCATATTGTTTCCTTGGGCTATCTTGGTAAAATAATTATATGGGCCATAGTTGTTTTTATTTTGTAGGCTTCTCTTTCTTTTATCAAAATCTATTCTAATCTATTTTAAAATAAATCTATTTTAATTTTCTTTAAGTGATTACACTTTAAATAGTGCAACTAAATAAAAATGTATTAAATATTATAGGAAGAATTTAGTTACATTAAAATAATTGTAACTAAAATTGTGCATTAAAAAGCAAAAAATGTTGTAGTGCAAGGGTATTAAGTATTATGTTTGATACCACAACATCCTATATTAAAGATATCATCTATTATGCTTGGAATTGTAACACTATAGATCAAGGATATTTAATAGAAAAATCTTGTAATAGTAAGAAAGAATAATTTTAAATTAAAATATTATAAATAGTAATAGAAATAATAAATCAGAGATAATTATTTTAAAGTGTTGCTAATTGTTAAAAAAAATTTCTTGGTGTTTCAATTTTATTAACAAATTTTCATAGTATATTTGAAATTTTATTATTTTCGGATGATTATAATGTTTGTTATTATTTTGTTTGCATGGTGTTTCAGATGTAAGGACAATTTCGTTTTTCTATATGAAATTCTCTTGCATTTTGCCTTTGTGTTGTAATTATTATATATCTTGTGGTGTAGATATGTTGGGAAATTTATGAAAAAGAGTGATCGAGTAATGCTAAATGCTAATGTCGAATACATAAATTTGTATATGAAAAATTTGACTGCAGATATCATAGAACAGCTTTTGTAAGATAAAATTTATGAGTTTGGGAAATTACTAGCCAGTTTGTAACAAATGATGAAATTGAGGCCTCAAAAGATTTTGGCTTTGATAAATTTGAAAAAACATTAAATAACGAAAAAAATGACAACAAAGTAGAGACCCAAAGATATCAAAGAAAGATGACAATGACAAATCAAAAGAAAAAAAGGAATAAAATAACAAAAATCAGCATTCATATACGAAAGAAAGATTAAAAGCACAATGGTAAATAACAAACAAAAAAATCACAAAAGAAAATCAACAAAAAATACAATTAAAAAAGTAAATAAGAGAATGCAAGAACCAAACCAACCATAAAACTGAAAGAAAAAAAAAAGCAAACAAAGAAGAAACTATTTATAACCAAAAAAAAAAAAAACAAAACCCATTGATAAAAAAAAGACTAAACTAAGCATGAAATGTAAGAAGAATAAATAAAAAAATTTTAAAAAAATTCCATAAGCAAAGATAACAAACTAACCTTATTAAAAGGAGAAGTAAAAACAATCAAACAAAAAAAACAAGTAAACAAGTAAAAGTGTCAAGTAAGCTGAAAATGGAAAAAAAAAACAACTAAAAAAGCAAAGTTGAGCAACAAGAGAAGAAATTTCTAAAAGGAAGAAAATGTAGCAAGTAAGCTAAAAAAGGCCAAAAAGAAAAAAGAAAAAAGAAAAACACTAAACCTTATAGAGAGAAGAAGAACAATTATTTAAAAGAAAGAACAACATGACAAAGACAAAAAAAAAAAAAATTAAAACAAATTATAAATTTGCACTTGCTCTTAACAGAAAAAATATTAGAAATTTAAAAGACCAAAAGAGACCTCTAAATAAAGCAAACAGAAAAAAACCCCAAAAAAAAATCTTCTCTCTTAACCCCAAAGAAAAGTTAGGTACTATATTTGCATATAGCATAGATTACCAAGCATTAGCTTATGTAGGATGATATATGCATAGCTTGGCTACTCAGATAATGAAAGTAGCTGATGTTAATTAAATATGTAAGATGCTTTTATTATGTAGGATAATATTTTTAAGATGATTAATTATATTAGTTTTTATCATTTTTAAAATGATTAATTATGTATAGGATAAGTTTTATCATTTTTAGTTATTTTATCACTTATAAATAATATTTTTAATATTAAAAATTAAGTTTTAGATTTTTTGTATAATTAATGAATAATAATACTTTTATAACGACATGATAAACTTTTTTTTTTGAAGACTAATGATGGTGAAAAATGGTTTTTTACAATATAAAAAACTTTTCGAGATTTTATCTAAATAGTAAAAAAAAAGTTACTAAAGTGAGAATAGCTGTAAATAGAGGGATACATTTGCAAAAAAGAAAAAAAAATCAGTACAGGACAGATGTGATAATTGCTTCTAGTTTGCAGCCCCTAAACCAAATCCGCTCCCGCTCAGTTTGCCTTTTTCGAATTGGAAACTCCCCTACCAGGCTGCAGCCCTACTCTCAGGATTTCGATGAGGCAATGAATGAATGATCCCAATCTGACCCCATCAAAACAGAAAGAAATGCCTCTCCAGACTCTCGATCCAGATCCGCTGGAGGGCTATACGGGTCTCTCGCTCTTTGCTCGAACCTTCGCTTCCCTTCCAAACCCTCCTCGACCTTACGACCCCGACGATCTTCAACACTCCCACCATTTCCTCAAATCCATGGTTACTCTCTCTCTTTAATTTTCTTTCATTTCCCCCTAAATTTACCTTACGGTTTCGGTTCTTTTATACGATAGCAAATACTAAGTTTAGTTCAATTATTTTGTTTTAATGTTTTTTTTTTCCAGCCATTACAAAGTCCTAATAAGCTTCTAGAGCAAGCCAAAGCTATTGTAGATGATAGTTCAGAACTCGTGAACTTGGATACGTCAAGCTCTGATGCTAACGTTAAGGACAATCTTCGAGAACGACGACCGGCTTTGGGCCGTAAACGAGCTCGTTTTTCTTTGAAACCTAGCTCAAGGTCAAGTTTATTTGAAAGTAATTTATTTTCTTATTAATATGCGTTATCCTTTTATTTATCTTGCTGTAAATTGTTAGTTGAATTTAATTTTACTTCTTTAATTTTTAATAGTCAGCCTACTGTGAGTTTAGAACTGAGTTTAGACATCGATAAATTGAAAGATCCGGAAGAATTTTTTATGGCTTTTGAAAGGGCTGAAAGTAAGTTTGCTGCTCGATTGCTTTCTTTTTCCCTTTTTTTGTTGGGAAATTTAATCTGCAATTATTTGTATGACCTTAGCTTTTGCCTGTGACGTGTGTATTGTTATGTAGATGCCGAAAGAGAAATACAGAAACAGACAGATGGCGTTCTGATGGATTTGGATCAAAATATTCAGTCCATGGCTGCACGGCCTCGTCGCCCCGGAATATTGCGGTCTGACCGATGTTTTCTGTCATCAGTTGTCTATTGTATTCATTTTTGTTATTATTTTACCTTTCCGTATGTATATATATAACATAACCTTATGATTTTATGTTCAGGAGATCAGTTAAGTACAAACATCGCTATTCTACTGCTATGTCCCCTATAGAAAACTTTGAAGAGGAAATTATCAGTCCACTTGGCTGCTTGCAACAAGAAGAATCTGACCCAAATGTTGAATTACAAGAGAAAGAGTTGGCTGGTGAGTCTAGAAAGGTTGATTTGTCCTAAGTTGTTGTTACTCTATTCCGTCCTTGCTCTCCCATTTTTGATATCTTCTCTAAAATTAACCTGCTATATGACATGAGGTTCATTTGTGTTTGTTTTCATAATGTTGCAAAATTTCCCCCACTATGTGTATGATAACATAATGATATATTATCTCTAGGCTTAGTGACCAACGCTGAGAAGAAGGTTAATGAACTTCTGGATCATTTGCTTACCAGTAATTATGATAAGGATGAGGCAGTCAGTCTTTTACAGGAGCGCTTGCAGATCAAACCTATTAATCTGGAGAAAATATGCCTTCCTGACTTGCAAGATATTCGGAGGATTGATTTGAAGGCTTCTAGAGAAAGCCTGGCCAAACCTCGAAATTCAATATCTGACATACAAAGTATGATGAAAGGGATCAGTAAAAGAACACCAAAACGACAGGCCGAAAGTTCAGTTCATCATTTAGCTTCTTGCGCTCCACCAAGAAGTCCATTGGCTTCGATATCATTGCTGAAGAAACAGATGCTGCAGTCAGATGTACTAAGTGATCCGTTTTCAACTGATGATATTGACCGATCGCCAGTGAGAAATGCATCTCCTATTGGAAGTATTAGTAAACAATCTGATCAGGTTGATACACAAAAGGAACTAAGCGTGTCTCACAACAACAATAGTAGAACACTGCAACAACAGGCTGAAAGTTCAGCTCATCATTTAGCTTCTCCTACTCCTCCAAGAAATCCACTGGCTTCAATATTATTACAGAAGAATCAAATTTCGCAGTCAGATCCACTAAGTCACCCTTTTGCAACTGATAATATTGACCAATCACCAGGGAGAAATGCATCTCTTGTTCATGGTATCAATAAACAATCTAGTCAGGTTGATATGGAAAAGGAGCTGAACATGTCTCACATGTTAAGGTCTCCAATATTAGAAGCAAATCAAACTGAAACTGCTAATGCAAGTTCTGAGCTCAATGGAAGAGACTTTGCTGGTCTGTTTGACAAATTTGTAAATGATAATGCAAGGAGGTTTAATTCTGGTAGTACTGTTGTCTCAAGCGGATCTCAGGCTGACTTGGAGAGTAACAGTATAATTATGCCTGAAACTGATGCAGATAGTCATACAATCAAACTAAATGAATTCAGTGTAAGGGTGAGTTTTCCTCTTGACTTTTCAACAATTAGTCATTGCAGTTTAGTGGAAATCTTTGCTACTGAATGTTATACTCTGAGGTATCGTGACAAAATGCAGCTGGAAGATATATCACCGGAAGCAGTTGCTTCTTCTCAGACCCAACTTAATGTGGAAGGCCCAACCATTGATAATTCACATATCATTCAGAGAGAGCCAGGTATGATTATTTTCTTTGTTAGCCATGAGATATTCTTGTTGGATGGGGATGCAAATGACTGTAATTAAAATGCCTCAGTTACATTTTTCATTTTTTCTCATTCATTTAGTGGTTGCATGAAGTAGCTTAGTGATTGGTTTTCAAAGTTGTTTTATGATTTGTTCAAACTGGAAAGAACTTTTCTTCCTTATTAGCCTCTTCGCTCTTTATCCCATATGTCTACCAGAGGAGAGGAGCAAAAGTACAAAAAAAAAAGAAAAGAATGAGAAATCATCTGGGATTTCTTTGGCAAATGCCTAAATAGCGTAACTCCCAGAATTTTAATTAGTGCTTTGGGATCTTTCATATATTCTGAAGGAGTCAAACATTCATTCTTCTTGGTTTCCATTTATTTAGCGTATTTTAAATGGATCATATCCCTCATCAATTGAGCTTGGGCTTTTTGTGCTCCACAAGATGGGCTGATTTTTCTAAGTTCTATTGGGCTACACCTGAGGGAGAATGTTAAGTGGCATTATGTCCTATATGACAGTTTTCAGTTGCTTTACATTTAGGTTTTTCTTCTCTTTTTTTGGTCAATTAGTTTTAGGTTGGATGTGGTAACAAATTATCATTACTTGACGGTCAAGGAATAATTAGAGGCAAGCTAATTCTCAACTTATTGGCATGCCTAGCTAGATGCTTCTGATCCTTTAAATAGTCTTATGATTTCTTTCAATAATTATGATGAATTGATGATGGTCAGCTTTTATCTGATTATGTGAAAGGGAAAAGATTTGAATCCACCCTAACTCTCTCTGTAGGAAACTCCCCCCGCCTCCTCCACCCCCAATATATTTTTGCTGGTTGCTATGTTGAATTATACATTGACTCGCCACTTGTTGCTTGGTTCTCACACTTTAATCAGATATGAAGTCCATGTTATGCTCATATTTGATGTTGTAGCCCATCCTCCCCACCCCCCTCTCTCTCCCTCTCTCACAGAGGGGTGCTAATTGGTAGAAAGATTGCACAAACAACATTTATTCTGCGAAGATTCCCTGAAACCCAAAATGGCTTGTTGCTCTCTTGTGTTAGTTGCATGTCTGGTGTAAGTTTGTTGTGCAACAATTTGAATGATTCAGTGACTCAGTTGTAATGATTTTTTTAGGTTCCTCCTGGTGCAGTATTAACCTTTTAAGCCATTGAAAAACTCCCTCCCTCTTCCCCTTTTTCGATCAGATTCCATTTGGTAGGATAAAGATTGTTCTTATTTTTTCAGCATACAGGTTGAAACAGGTCATAAGGTTAAATTGCTTATAGATGCTTCATTAGTTGTGTGTTTACAATTAGTTCCTCATCTGACTAGCTAGGAAATTGGTGGTTAGCAGTATGAACCTTTTGGTTCCTCATCTACGACTATAGTTGTTAAATCGAGATATGTATCGTGTATCCAAATCTTATTTTTTAGTATCGAGTGTCATGTATCGTATCGTATTGTAAGATACGGTAAAAAATTTTAAAATTAATTATAAATAACATTTATACATGTAAAATAAAGAAAATATTGAAAAATATTATAGTTTTTAACAGAATTGAATATTACAAGATATAAATTGAAAAGATGATTATTTTTTTAATTTAAACTTTTAACATATTCCTTTATAATATGGATTTTGAAATAAAATATATATTTTTATATTAATTTATTAATTAAAAAATAAAAAACATTTGTCATGTTAAAATTAAAAGGGAATTCCACATTTTTAGTTTTTTTTTTAATCTAAAGTTGGAACTCATAAAATATAATTTTTCATGTTTCAACTCAAGAAAATAATAAAAAAATAAAATTT